AAAAGGAAAGGTGAAAAGGAAAGGTAAAAAGGAAAGGTAAAAAGGAAAGGTAAAAAGGAAAGGTAAAAAGGAAAGGTAAAAAGGAAAGAAAGAGCAAAAGTAATAATGAGAAGAACAGCAGGAGAGGAAAAAAATGTGTTCAGCTTTTTCCTACAAGACTTCCTTGGCTTTATCTTACAGAGGTGTTTCATACCAGTGGAAGTAGCTCAGGGAGGTGGGTGGAGGGCAGTGCTTGGCTGTGCTGCTCTTCCCTATCCCTGCAGAAGCTTTCTCCCTCTTCCCTTGGAGCATGACTCCTCAAGGCTGGCTGGCAGGATAACTACAGTCGTCTGAATCCCCTGGTAAACCACGGCCCTCTGAGAATGCCCCTTCAAAGTATTGTGTTTCACCACTTTTTGTGAGCCCTTCTCACCTCTGAAGCACAGTCCATCACCTAGAGGAGCAACTGCTTGCATGCAATTTGCAGTTGTTGCCCTACAATAACCACCACCATTTCATACTTTTGCCCTCAATGCCATATAAATTTTCAATTAAAAAAGTCCTCTAGACTTCTTGTAGTAATGAAATCTGCTCTGGAGAAGAGGACATGACCTGGCCAAAGAAACACTTTGTTGTTTGGGCCATGAAAATTGCATTTATAAAATCACTGCAACAATAACAGAAACCCCCAGCAACACAGACCCTCCAGGATCTGTGGAGTTACCTGTTGGTTGTTGTCCAAAGTGCACATTTACACAGGCTGCAATGCTGAGGGCTACAGCCTGTGCAAGCATGAAATGAAGGTGGTACCACCTTACAGTGCCTTACCTTGTCCCAGCCACACATGACTGTGTGACAGCACATCACAGGTGGCTGCAGGATCTGTGCCAGGCTTCAACAATAGCTCCTTCCAGGACAGGAAGCTGTGGACATGGGTGCTTGTGCTTGCAGCTAACCCTCTCCACTATTTTCTAGATCTTTCCTGCAAAAAGTGATTTGATTTAAATTAAAGTGCCTGGTAATTTTTTCCAAAAAGATGTTTGCTGCTGAGTGAGAAGAAAGAAGATGTACTTTTAAGGTGATGAAAAAAGAAGTCGTCACAAATAAGTGGATTAGATCACTTGAAGAATCACTGTCATAGGTATTAAAAAACAATTTTAATATAAATTTCCAGAAGCACAGTTTAACAAAGTTCAATGGCAAGATTCTCTGCATTACATACTACATGGGTGAAACATACAGAGTAAAATCAGATAAGAACTGATTTAGAATTATTTACTAAGAGACATAAAAAAAGTAAGGATGCAAAAGGGGACACCATATTTCTGAGTCATGAGATTCAGGATGGACCTCTCATTTTCAAAACTACCAGCTGATATCCGTCAAGTTGAGATCCCCCATGAGTGCAAGGGTGACACTTGTGAGATTTCTCCCAACCTCCTGTAGAATGAATCATCTGTCTATTCATCCTGGCTAGGTATGACCCAGCTCAGTGCCTTTCACATCCTTGCTTAATGAATAATGCAGTTATCTGTAAGAGGCCACCAGGACATCCACTCTGCTGACCTTCCCCTGATCTTTACCCACTCAGCCTGCCATCATCATCATAGGTTTCAATCTAATCTAAACAATCCCTCTCAAAGAGTACAACACCACTGTCTCTACTGCTTCACTTTTCTAAACTTCTTATAGCCAACCACTGCCAAAAAATAAAATAAAATAAAAAAAAATTATCCTGGAAAATGTTATCTGTAAATTCTGCTGGGAATATTAAACTGTTGTGGGACTAAATAGGCATCAATCTGGCTTGAGCAGTTCTTTCTCCTACATTATGTCCATTCTGTGGATTCACAGAAGTCTTCAGCCATCCCACTGATAACCCTTCAGACCAAAGAAACCCATAACTTTCTGATGTATTAAAAATAATTGATTTGGGAAAAAAAAATAAAATACAGCAAAGGGAGTGGGCACAAGAATTCCAGAGTTGCTAAAAGTATTATATTCTTCACATGGACAGCGGATACATCTATATGACACACCACCCTCTC